GTCTCCCACGGGACTCTCTCAACCAGCGTCCTGAACAGGCCAAAGTCCGCCCTCCGGAAGTCCATGGTTGCGGTTTTGCTGGCCCCCCCCCTTACTTCACCAAGAATGGAGAATTTTACCATTTCATGGTTGCTAAGCCCAAGATGGCCACTGACCACCACATCTCCCACCAGTCCTTCTCTGTTTGTAAACAGCAGGTCGAGCGAGGCACCTCCCCTGGTAGGCTCCCTTACCAGCTGTGTCAGGAATTTGTCTTCCACACACTCCAGGAACCTCCTAGACTGCTTCCTCTCTGCCGTGTTGTATTTCCAGCAGACGTCCGGGAAGTTGAAGTCCCCCACGAGAACAAGGTCTAGCGATTGTGAGACTTCTGCCAGCCACTTGCAGAATACTTCATCCACCTCTTCATCCTGGTTGGGTGGTCTGTAACAGACTCCCAACAGGATATCTGCCTTGTTGGCCTAGTGTTGGCCTTGTTGGCCTAGAACAGTGTTGTCTGTTTATTTCAGCAAGTTATATGGACTCCATCAAGGTCAGCTAGGACCTTCGTGTTTTCAGTCCTTCCCTTTTATCCATCTTCCACAGAAGGGAAAGGAGACATAAGTCAAGTAATAGCAGTCACAGTGTGCAACACCCCATGATGTCTGGTGCAGTTGGACTGGAGCTGATGACCGGTCTAATGGAGCTGTCATCTCACCCGTGTTCCCAGTGCAATACTAGCATGTGCTCTGAGCCACACCCCCCGCCACTCACACCTAATTTGAGATCTCGTGGGTGCATAGAAGAAAAAGTCAAGTGATGGCTTGAAGACAGACTTTAAGGTTCCCGTCTGAGTCACCCTGGAAGTCTATGGGAGAGCATACTTTTCCCAGATTCTTTTCCTACTCAACCTACTTTTCCCTGAGCCTTTCCCAGTTCTGTTTAGAGTCTTTGTCCTAAGGATGTGCTGCTGCCCCTTGCTGTCATGACCACAGAATGACGAACAGACTGGGAATACATAACCAGTCTTTTTTGTATGGAAGACAACAGGAATAAAAGTAATTACAACTGAATTATTAAAGCATAGTTATCACTAGCTTTGCAGGCAGTCTGCTGAGACTCTGTGAACATGTGCATTTGTATGTAAGGGTTTGAATGATGTACCTGGGAATAGAGAGGAGGATTTTATTTTTATTTAGTGGTGGTTTTTATGAGAACAAAGAACTGAGTTCTTCCACCTCTCTTGGCCATGGGAGGGGTTCATCTCACCTAATCTAGCCATGGGAAGGGTGAATGTCTAGGCATCTTCACAGGGTGACTCGACCCCCTTCAGGGTGTGGTTTTATGCTCACATTTAACCAGTCTGGGTCCCCAGTGCCACGCTTGCACTGATGAAGATCTCACTGCAAATAAATCTTCTTTTGTTTTGTTTTGTTTGTTTTTAAGTTTATTAGCTGGTTCAGTTCCCCAATCTGGACGGCTGCCCAATCCCCAGCCATTGCTGCCAGCGTGAAAGCAGGTGTGGGAAGAAGCAGCAGGGGCAGGGAAAGAGAGAGCCTTTTCAGCACCTGCACAGACTTCCGTCAGTTTAAGCTGGCTGTGAGCCTGCACTCTGTAGCGGATGGAGTGAATCATCTGGTCACGGTGCCTCTCATGATCTATCAACTGGTGAACACATCTACACAATCAGCTTACACAAGATCCCTAACTTTAAGGTTGCTGAATTGTGCTAAGATAAATTATCCTACCAATTTAGGTATATTTTCATGCAAGCAGACATCCTGGGAGGACCAGAGTCTTTGAATGGATAGAAATGCTTCCATCTTCATTTCCCCAAGGCACGGTAAAAATTTGAGGGTTAGTGTTGGTAAGTCACTCGGGCACTGAAAAGTCCAGAAGGAAGTCAGTCATTTTCTTGCTAAAGATCACTTTGAACAGGATCTGATGAGTAAGTCACGTCATGTAAATGCAAACACATGGTTCTGATGTGGTGGATAAAGCAAAATACAGAAAAGCTATTTTAAGTACACACCATGCTGTGTTTGAACTGCATGAGATAGGATCCTGCAGTAAAAAAATAGCGTGCAATGAAGTGGGTCTTGGTCAGCATGCATATGCTCAACAGTGAAAATACATTTAGATGTGTAATGCATAACAGATTTGTCAGTTCTTTGACAGTTTTGATCCATGCTTTGTATATGGTTGACATATGTTTGATATTTATGTGTGTGTATATGTATGTGTATATATGTCTTGTCATAAAGTACTGTGCTGTTGGGTTAAAGAAGTAAACCAACCTTCACTGAGAAACAAAGAAGAACATCACGTGCCAAGACTTTTTTCTCCTAGACCAGTACCTTGAAATAGTGTTTATGATAATTTCCTCTTAATGTTGGTGGGTCCGTTCTACAGATATATGGATATGCACACAGTTCACTGTCTTTTGAAAGGCAATGTATAGTCACTGAGTGCCTGGAATGATCCTGGGCTTGTACGCCCACACCAGTAAAATAGTTAAAGAATTACTGGTATAAAGTGTGCTGTGAACAATGGAGAAATAATACACGTTATTTTTTCTTGTTCAAGGTGTTCATCTTTACTACGTCGGTGGGGAAGTTTATGCTGAATGTGTCAGTGACAGCAGTATTTTTGTGCAAAGCCGCAACTGTAACTACCAGCATGGTTTCCACCCAGCCACTGTCTGCAAGATCCCCAGTGGCTGCAGCCTCAAGATCTTCAACAACCAGCTCTTTGCCCAGCTGCTTGCCCAGTCAGTCAATCATGGTTTTGAAGTGGTGTATGAGCTGACCAAGATGTGTACTATTCGAATGAGCTTTGTTAAAGTAAGGATTCTTTGTTTTCTCTTGCATTTCTGAAAAGGCAAATCCTAGCACTTGCTAGCTTTGGTGCAAAACTAGACCCCATCAAATCCTTCCCAAGTGGGGATTTGGACACCCCACTTGCAAATAGCAATTCAGACTGCCTGTTTTCCAGTATTGCCTTAAACTTATAGGTGCTTAAAATCAGTAGCTTTTGTGGTCAACCTGGAAATTTTTTAGATTCCAAAAATTAGGTATTCCATAGGCTTTTTGTGCAAAATAAGCAGAGATTGAATGATGTTCCCCCATTGATTGCATAAAGAGCTCAACTTACAGGGGCTTAGCAACGTGTAAATGTTGTAGCATATATCTTAGGCAGTTGTGATCTCTCCTATCGTTACTGGTTTGCAAGAGAGCTTGGTAGAGCCATAGATCTGAAAAGAATGTCCTTATGTCTCTAGACTAATTTACAGTCTCAGCATTACTATAGACTGGTATGTATGGTCTCAGTCAAGAAACACTGGGTCCTCCTTCAGCCCCCACTGAGCTTCCTGGGAACTGTTGTTGTTTGCCACCTGTCTGATCCCTGGCAAGAGATTGTCTTAATTTCTGATGACATTCACTCTGGCCAGCCACACTACCAGAAGGGCTTCTTGCAAGCAGAATACAAAACCCAGAAGAACATCTGACCTTCCCCCTGGTATTTGGAAGAGACAGGAGGCCAGCAAAGCCATTACTGTTTCCATGTCTTTCATCTCTGAACTTTGCAGTCTGACTTCTCTGTGTGCGATGTATCAGTCTTTGTGGGAGTTTCTTAAATCTTCTGAATGGCCTTTCACCAGAATGGGATCTTTTGACTCCTTTTAGCACTTAGGATTTACTTAGGTGCCTATTGTAGCATCTAAACCCCAAAGAATGGTATTTCAAGACTGTTTACAGATGTGCTAGACTGACTTCCTATAGTGCTGCTGGGGAGAGCTGACAGCAATGTTCAGCCTGCAGACTAGAGAAGTCACACCATTAGGAGCAAGTTGGTCCTGCTAGGTACCAGAAGAAGTGTCTTGAGTATGTCCCTTTGTCCTCCAGATTTGGTTCTATACAAATGACTGAATCAAACTGATTGAATTCACATCTAAGATACTACAAAACTGCTTGAGGCTGGAGTCCACTTCCCCTATGTTCTGCAAAGCAGATGAGTTGAGTCCCACGCAGCCTTCTGGTTCTGACTGTTTCCAGCCATCCTTGGGGACCCATCTCCTTAACTCTCTGAGAGCACTAAGAGTGCCCTGTAACTTTTCCCGAGTCCAAGCCAAAATCTCTCTGCCCGTGACCATACTGTTGCTTTTTTCTTGGGAAGGAACTGACATCTTGTTCACACGCAAGCATTAGGGGAAAAAAAGAAAGCAAGAAACCCAACAAACAGCATTTTCTTTAATGGAAGACATGAATGGGCATGTTGTTTGTAAAGGCAGTGTAGCCAGTTACGCAATATTTTCATTATCTCAGCAACTCGGGAGCAGTCTCTTTGATGTGTTATCTGCCTCTATGCCCAGCATGGCAGCAGAAACGGTTGTGTTGATGCACTAAATAATGCTGCTGCCATATTATCACCTTGCTTTGTTGAAACAATAGCAGCCACTATAGTGCCTCAGGCACCAGAAGACCAGTGCAAGGAGTTATTTTGAACCCTTTCCCATGACCTTCGGAAAATGGCTATGCAAATCTCATCTAGGTTCTTCCTTCCTGGCATGTAAAAACCCTTTCCTGTACTCAGTCTTCTCAAATTATTTCTCTCCCAAAGTGTGAGCCCCAGTGTGTTCAGTCTGGGGATAGGAATGCCCCTGGGTGTTAGGTATGTAGTGCACAGAGGAGCATGTTGTCTGTCAGAGCCACACACCAAGAGCCCCCAGGTGCAGGGCAGTCTTTTGGCTTCTCCCCTATTTGTGACCAGATGCTGCTGGTCACCTGCAGCCCACAGGGCAAGCAGAGCCAAAGGACTGGAGACCCTGCCTCCTACACCACCAGTGCTTGAGCTACCAGCTGGGAGACAGAGATGGGTAGGGACCAAGACGTGAGAAACTTGCCAGGACTGTATCCTCTTCTGGAGGCTGGACATGGGACAGAGGGAGGTGAAGGTCCTGTCCCCTCTGATACCCTCCATGTGTCCACAGAGCAGCTGGGAGGAGCTCAACCCTCAGGCAAACGTGAGTGTATCATCAGTGAGAACAGAGAGCAATTTTCATCCACTGAGCGCTGCTGATAACCAAAGCAGGATGGCTGTTGTCCCCTCTCCACAGATGAGACAGCTGAAACACAAAGTGGAGAGACGCAGAGTTTCTCCAAGCCAAGGTCTGAACCCAGTGCCCTCCCTCCCACATTTCCCCAGGTCTTGGGGCTAAGGGGACGACCCAGCACACTTGGCCGTGCTCCCCAGCACGAGGCAGCTCAGTGCTCTGGGACGTGGCTGGACCCTGGGCCGGAGAGAGCTGTTGCCCACAGGAGGTGGGAAGGGCTGGCAGGAGCAGCAGGGCCCCTCGGCTGATCTCCCCCATGCCAGAAGGTGCATTTCTGGTCTCCTTGTGAGGGTATCGGTATCCTCTTCCCACCATCTGCTCAAAACACCACCACAGCTTTGCAAGTTGTCATTTTATTCCCTCATTAAGAGACCTCCACCTCTGGGTTCATTTCAGCTGCGAGGAGGCTACCTGCAGCCCAAGAGAGATGTACGGGAGGCACAGGGGCTCCTGTCCTCCTGGCATTTCCCCTGCTGGGAGCTCCAGCCAGCAGCCTGAGGCAGCAGCCCTGTGTGTGGGAGTTGCCAGCAGAGGGAGATGGCCAGCCACCTGCACGCGCTGCCAGATGCCTCCAAATCGGGCAGGTTGCGCTTGCAACCTGTAATTCCTATTCCTCCGGATTTTCCATCCTACCAGTCAGCAGAGGTGCACCGACTCCTCTGACACTTGCCCTTCTGGCCGTTTATCTTCACTGCAGCTGAGTACTTAAGACTTCACAAACCCAGATGCCTGACTGCACTGATTTAAAGAGTGGCATTTTTTGCCAGCGTTTCCAGAACATAAATCTGAGGTGCCTGTGAACACACACCCTTTCTAGCCTAGTAAATGCTCTGCAGGTCAGAAAAATGGTGCCTGATTAAAAGTAGTCTTTGGGCTTTGGTGGGTCCATATCTTACTCTTCTGCTTTCTTCACCCTTTTTTTCATTAAGAAGCAATAGATTTTATCCACACCACTTACTATGGCATCTAGTTTTGGTATTGATCCTAGTTTTGCAGCTGATCATCTAGAGAAGTGGGTTCTAGCAGCCTCAGTTGTCTGAGTTGTTCAGCACTCTACAATTTCGGTACCTTTGGCAGGCATCAGTCTTAACATACCTCCATGTGTTGTGGTTTAACCTCAGTTGGCAGCTGAGCACCATACAGCCGCTCGCTCACTCCCCCCCCCACCCCGGTGGGATGGGGGAGAGAATCAGAAGAGTAAAAGTGAGAAAACTTGTGGGTTGAGATAAAAACAGTTTAATAATTGAAATAGAATGTTTAAATAATAATAAATAATAATAATAATAATAATAATACACAAAGCAAGTGATGCACAATGCAATTGCTCACCACCCGCTGACTGATGCCCAGCCAGTCCCCGAGCAGCGGCCCCCCCGGCCAGCTTTCCCCCAGTTTATGTACTGAGCATGACGTCACATGGTATGGAATGTCCCTTTGGCCAGTTTGGGTCAGCTGTCCTGGCTGTGCCCCCTCCCAGCTTCTTGTGCACCTCCAGCCTTCTCAGTCGGTAGAGCATGGGAAGATGAAAAGTCCTTGACTGGTGTAAGCACTGCTTAGCAACAACTCAAACATCGGTGTGTTATCAACATTATTCTCCTCCTAAATCCAAAACACAGCACTGTACCAGCTACTAGGAAGAAAATTAACTCCATGCCAGCTGAAACCAGGACACCATGTCCTATTTTCATGACAAGAATATCAGCCTGCCTGACTAGCATAATGATAGGTAAGGCTCAGGTTCTCTGATCAGCGGCCCACAAATGAATAGCCTCATCCTGCAGTGGGACTGCGTTTTGCACGTTGCCCTATGGAAATCCAAGTTCAGTTCTGGCAGTGAGACAGCCAGTTAGCTGTGAGACTTTGGGCTGTGACTTGGATGGCTTGTGTTGCTCTGAAATCAGGCTGCCTGCTTAACAAGCAGACACTGTGCCTGCTTGAGGCACGGCGACTTCTGGTTCTCTTTTCTCCATGCCAGCACCACATCCCCATCTTCCGTCAGATGCTCCATATCCCATATCTCCCCAAAAGAGCTAGAGAAATTACTGCGGGACTTATCACAGCAGACAGCTGGGAACTCCCGTGGGAAAAGAGGACATGTTCAAGGATAGAAAACCCATGGAAAGTGTTTATACATAGGTTAAGTTTAAGGTAAAGGGGACATGAGGAACCTTGCTGGAAGTTTCCAGAGGTTCAGATAAATACCTAGAACTTCTAGAGTCTCAGACTCGTAGGATGCATCTCTACCAATAAATGAAGCAGTGCCCAAGATCATTCCCAGTTCCTGTTAAAGTGTTATGACAGGGCCTGGCCTGCTTTTCGTCTGTGCCAGACAGAAGTCTGGCAGACTTTCCTGGGCACGTCTCTGGGGTGCGAACAGCAGGGACCATTCCCCATGGGCTGTTTGCAGGCAGCCAAGCTTGGAAACAGGCCTTTCCATGACAGTTGATCTCAGCACCTGGAATTGTGACTGAGCATTTTTAATTTAATAGTATAGAGTCCCTGATAACTATGATAACAATGACCTTAAAAAGGAGCAAAGTTTCTACAGAAAATTATCCCTAGGACAAAGCAGTAAATCTTGGGAACTTGGGTGATGGACTACATGTAGTTGTGTTAGACTGTCAGCACTGGAGTTGTGATTCCATGTTTGGTTTTTTTTTTAAAAACTCACTTTTTGGTCCTTTGATGCTTTTATAGGGCTGGGGAGCAGAGTATCATCGCCAGGATGTTACAAGCACACCCTGCTGGATTGAGATCCACCTGCATGGACCGTTGCAATGGCTGGATAAGGTGCTGACACAGATGGGCTCACCTCATAACCCCATCTCCTCAGTCTCTTAAGGATCATCTCTAGAATTCCCTTAGGGTGGATGCTATTGCAGGCAGTGGCTTATAGGATTTCCAGTGAACAGAAGCTTCTATATGTAGATGTATGTAGATGTAAATATATCTATACATAGTCTACTCTCCTTTTTTTTTTTTCATGCTACGTTTTGTGGTTTCTAGTTACTCTGATGCCAGTACAATAAGTTTAGAAATTCAGGTATAGCGTGTCTGTTCTCTAGTACAAAATAAGCCAAATTCCTGCAAAAGTGTCAAACATTTCCTGTGAGCATCTTCATTCCCCAGCCAAGCCAGTAAACGGTGCGAATTCTCAGCACTTTCATGTGGATTCAGAAACCTGGCTGTAGCTGTTCCTAGTAGGTGAAATTCACCCCTCGGCAGGCAACCAAAGTCAGATCTCTGCACCGTTTATATCCATTTTACATCCTAATTTCAGGTCTAAAAGAGGACCTTAGGTGGTGCACAGGACTTATGCATAGAGATGACTTTTATCCAGTGAACTGAAGGACTAAACTGCAATTCCAGTCTGTCTCCCTACTGCAAAGCATGATGGGACAACAGATCCTCTGAGGAGCTGAGGCACCCCTGTCTCCCCTAGGATTTGGCAGGAGGAGAGAGCCCTCGGGACACGTTCAGCACTGGAGCCTTATCAGAGCATTCTGGACACATCCGAGTAGTCTGATGCTGTTAACACAGTAGCGTACGGTACTGCTGCACTGAAAAGCAACAAGCTCCTAAGAAAAAAAAAAAGGAAAATTTGAAATATATGCCTATAAGTTTAAAAACTAATTAACTTCCAGTGCTTTTTTGCAAAGTACATGCATACTTGCATATGTATCTGGCATGTAAACTGAATCCTATCCATTATACAGTATTGATGTAGTTTGTTTTAAAGTTAGGACTGTCTGTAGTTAGACTACTGTGCTGATATCAAGGGTACGTCTAAAAGGGACTTGAACTGTGATTCAGAAAAGGGAAATGAAGTGTGCATTGAAGAACCAAATAATTACTTTATCATTCATTTTGGGATAGTCTTTGTACTGGGAACAGGAAGCCTCACGCTCACAGGATGCAATGAGAAGGAGGTGGGAGTCAGCCACATCCATCCCCTGTGCTGGGCCGGTCCTCGGGATCTGACTGCAACGCTCAGGTTTGACAGAGAGAGCTTCCCTGCCGGTCACTTCGTACATCCCCATGGATGGTTCCTCATCTTAGATACAGGCTTCATCATTTGCAGTGCTTTTGCCTCGCCTGTAGAGGATGGTGAGGCAGTGTAAGCCATGAACAAGCAAAGAGTGAATCTATGTGCAGAACCTTTTTTTAAAAGCTCCTTGTCTGTGGTCCTTCTGTAAGCAGGGAAATCTATCGCCCATACTCTCATCCACAGAGCCAGCCTTACAAAATGCTGTTCACTTGGTAACCTTTTCTGAGGAGGCATGTGAAACTCTTACTACATTTTGATGGTCCCCATTACCTTGCTGAAAGGGTAAAGGATTATTTCTTTCCAGGCATAACAGTCCACTGAAAATTGTTTTGCTTTAGGGGTCAGAAAGAGTGGTAACTTCTCCAATCTCATTCCTCCTTAGAACACACCAGAAGTATCCTGCGGGGAAAAAAAAAAGTTTTACAGAATATTTCTTTTCTTCTCACACAATATCTGGTGCTACACATTTTACTGCATAATTAGAAGAGGATGCCTGATATCTTCAGCTACATCAGCTACATCACATATGCAAATCAAATAACATTCACTGGAAAGACTTTCCATGTGTTTTAGATGCTATGTAATACCTGTTACAGGGTGGTAATTATGAATGGAGCAGAAGAATCGGTAAACTAGCAGGGTTACTTCATTTGAATGCATCTTCAGCTGCCTGCAGAATTTGTCGGGCACAGAAGGATAAATTATTGTTAAGTTTGAGCAGTAATAGCAAGTTGTATAGGAAATTTGTAAATGCAAAGAACCCTATTCTGTCACCATTTGATGTCAGCAGTGTCACTGTGGGATAGGAAAAGCTTTACAGTCTCCTGCAGCAATGCAATCCAATAATAATGTTACACAGAAATTGCAGGCGTGCCATTTACTGTTTAGCAGACTTGAGAGAGAGCAGTTTGGAAAAAGACATTTTCCTCAGCTTCCTCTGTCATCAGTGTCACTGTACTGAGGTACTGGTAACACGGTTTTTAGCATGTTTATTGCACCCTTTCTCCAGTAATTTCTCTGTGCTTTTCATGTTGCTCATCCCTTTGCTTTCTTAGCAGCTAAGGACAGAGAAAATCACCTCTCCTGTCCAGGATCTAGCTCTGTCCTTTATCCTAGATTCTTCCTTGCTTTTTAGGCTGAAACCTCCTTCCCTCCTAATATAGAGAGAAGCCTAGGGGCTGCTTTTAGACACTCCCAGCATTGTCATCTTCCTCGCAGAGAGAAAAGGGGGACGTTCTGAGGTGCATCTGCTCTTGGGCAGCTCCAGAACCCAGTTTCCTGCTGATGCTGCAGAGGAAAATTGGATGGTCAGTGAAGAGAAGCAGGTTCTTCTGGGCCATCTTTCGTTTCATCATAGGGCAGGAATTTCAAGTAGGTAAAATACACTGTACTCTGAGCATGCTTATGTCATCCCATTGAGTATAAGGGGAACTCAGGGTCACTAGCTCAAATGTGGACTGCTACATTGGACATATCTAAAAGTAGGTGAGGTGGGCCCTAGGGAAGATGTGGTGGCTTTCCCAGCCTAGTAATGATGCTTGCTCAGTAAGTGTCTGTGTTGTTTAAATGGAAGTTGGTAAATTCAGAGCAGTTTTTCCTTGTCTGTATGTCTACTTTTACAGTAATCCTCATACAAATAAGATTTGGCTTCAATGCAGTCCACAGGCATCTCATTAAAGGTAGTTACCTTAATACTCCCTTACTAGTAAGTAAAGAGGCATTTCTAGAGTATGATTCTCCTGACCTGTTTAAAAGGTCTGCCTTAGGATGAGATGAGTTTCAGCAAATTTAACTATTTGCTGAAAGTTTGATCGAAGCACCTGATTCTGGGCAATCAAAGCCAACAGCCATCTCAGAGTTGTTAGCATTTGGGATGGCTGGTATCGCTGTGTGAACTCTTTCCTATTTTGATGACCTCTAGGGGCTTAGTCCACTGTATGAGATGCTGTGCAAACACACAGCAGCGGATAGCTCCTTCCCAAGAGAAGGGGAGAGCTCACATCATGAGGGAGAAGTGGTAACAGTGGACGAGGCAAACAAGTAAATGGGAAGATGATTCCTGCCCAGATGCGGTGATAAAAAGTAAGGCCAATAAACCATTTATTTCCCTTTCTTTTTGAACAAAGTCTCTCTTACAGGCTTCTCTACTATGTGATTTGAGATCAGTTAAAAATTCAGGTTTCTCATAATTTACAGCAATGTAACTTTGTATCTCACTTTAATGTCTCCCCATTTTGGAAGGAGATATTTTCTGCTGAAAGGTCTTCATGAACCTGTCAACCTGTAGTCAATTTAAAGCCTTTAAATGCAGTCATTAATACTCAAGCTTTGGAGATAGGGTTCCTGAGAGATTTAAAACCACTTACAGCGAGACTACTTAGTCGAAGGCAGGGTTTTTTAAATGTTTTTTTTGAGCCATCAACAATTCAAACCCTCTTGAAAGTTTCTGTGGAGAAGTACCATGCATCAGCAGGCCGTGGTGGGAGTTTTGTCAGGCAGTGGCATAAAGCACATTCATCATGGTACGTAGACCACTTGTTTTCCTGTTAAGTAGCCGAGAGAAGAATACTGCTAAACTGCTGCCAGTTCTTCAGCACCAGCATTAATGTGCCATTTGCATCCAGAGGTGACAGAAGCAAATCTGGCATGCTGACTGCATGGAGCCATCCCGTGGCACTGCTGCTCTGATGGCTCAGTCCCATAACCTTGCACTGTAACAGCTGATCAGGTACGGTATAGCAATGGCTGTAGCATCCAGAAGTGCAGCACGTGCTTTGCCTCCCCATCAGAGGCTGTGCCACAAGCATCTTTTCTCCTCATGAGTATTTCATGTTTTGCTGCGCTCAGTCAGAAGGATAATGTATCAGCAACACGAAGGGGAACTGTGGCCCCAAGTAACATCAACTGGAGTTGAGGAAATTCCTTCCGTGTCTCCAGCAGGTACTGTGTCAAGACTTTTACTGCCCTGAGCAGCCTTCTCCGAGTGGTCCCTGCCTTGTGCAGGGTGTCAGACTTGATGCCCTGCAGAGATCCCTTCCAATTTACATTATTCTGTGGGTCTGTGCAGAGATTCAATGATAACTGGCCACCACAGGCAGGAGCTCTCCGTTAGTAAGAGACAGTTTCAGGATGAAGCATGTTTATCCTCAGCTATTTCTGCATGAGTTCAGTGCAGGACAGAGTTACAAGGTATTAATGTTCCCTCAGTATATAATCAACACTGCAAACATCTCTCTGTAAATGTCATCTCCATCACACAACTCTTAAAATGGAGAAAATCAGGCATTTGTGCCTGTAACTTTATCTAATCTGCCCTTGTTCTTCCTGGCTTACAACACTCACCTTTGCCTATAAGCTCTATGAATCCGAAAGTCTCACCAGTGACTGAGGAGTTGCATAAACAGCTGGATTTACAGAGGCAGCTCAGGCAGAGACTATTTGCTTCTTGGCTGGATGGAAACAATTCATAAAGAAGCTTGGTTGAATTTAGTAACTTTGAAGGGGTCTCAAGTATAGGGCCAATTTTCTTGGCTCATTAAAGACTTCTCTGGTGCAGCTATAGCTTTCAGGAATACTTGAGCACTACATGGTGCTCAGCACAGGAAAGAAACATTACATCATCTGTACTATTCACCTCCCCCCCGGCTTCCCATAACCTAACTTAGTAAAACCAAAACCAAACACAATAAAGAAAGATTAATGAGTCATAGGGTAGTGTAATTAAATACCATTTTTCAAAGTTGAGAAGTGCTGCCCAGAATATAGATTTATATCATCAGAAATGTACCGAATGTAACATGTCCCATGTGCTCTTCAAGCCAAAGGCGAGAGCTCCTTGCTCTGGAGAAGCCTGGAGAGCAGTCTGTTACTTGAACATCTGAACCCAAGCCCTTCTGGGTGAGTGGAAACTCCAGTGATGCAGCTGAGAAGATTTTTAGAGGACTTCTAGTTCATGGCTGGTTTCTGTAGCGAGAGGTGCATTGAGAGAATGAAGGGACTGGGGAGGAGGGAGCATATGACCAGATACACTCAGTGGTCATCGCAGGAGGTGTGAAGGCAGTACGTGCTTGGGCAGCCATTGCGTTCACTAGAGGTTTTTACATTCACATCTAAACTAATCATCAAGATCTGTTTTAAGAGCAGCTTGGAGTACCACAATCCTTGATCTGGTGCTTCCTACACACAGTCTGACTGGGTGCGCCAGCCCCCCGATTAAGCCATTAGGTATGTTGGAGCAAATGGTGTCCCATGTGATCCAGGGAGTAGGCTTTGGTTGCATCTGGGAACTGCACTTGCACAAGATTACCCTCTGCCTCGCTGCAGGACTAATGAGGAGTTCAGCTTTGGGCAACCATTCAAGGACACTGTAAGCACATCCAGTGTGTGCTCCCCAAAGAAGACTGCAGTCTGAACAGAAACTGCACGACTGAAAGACGCGGATGATATAGAGTGTCTACCTGGGAATTGCAACAAAGCAACTCACTTCATGCATGGGTGGGAAATTGCAGTGCCCAAAGAAAGATGGAATCGGCAGGAGCCTTCACAGGGACTCCTGACTATGGAGACATTTATAACAGGACTATATGACATTTATAACAGGAACTAAGAATGGACAAGTGTCCTCCCTTGAGAGCGACTAAGAGGGCAGGTCACCATCAGAAAAAATAGAGTTGGTCCCATCTTCAGCAGGGAGAGAGATTATATGAGACTTTAGATCTGTGAATAAAAAGCTTCTCAACCAGGAGGCTTCATTGCAGTCACTGAAACAGGGCTTCTTCCTAATGGCAGCTCTGGGAGTACCTTTCTGCAAGGTACAGAAAGCCTGAGTGGGCATTTAGTCTTTGTTCAGCAGAGAGAAACCGCTTTGCGTCTTTAGTGCAGACAGACGCTTCCGCATGTTGTGCACCAGCACAAAACACAGCCTTTGGTTTGTACCAGTCATCTGCTCGTAGGAAGCTCCAGAGTGGCCAGGAGCAGCCAGGATCCTGTTACCCGTTCACCCCAGGGCTTTCCAAACAGCTTGCCCGGGCGTGCCTTACATTATGTTGCCATATTGATGCCACACTTTCCTGCCAGGGACGTGAGGCGTGTGAGAGTCC